AGATTTATTCATAGGAAAGTTAATTCGGTGTTGTTTAACACTCTCCAAAGAAATGAATTCTAGGCCATTAACACATTGACTACAAATTTTAAAACAGAATTACTCCATTTTCTATCCAAGAAAACAAAATACGTCATAAATAAGGTAAATTTAGCATTTGGGATTTTCTGACAAATCGTTTTCAAGCCAAAGGCTGGGACACATATGTCGCAGTCGTAGTTAATAGGATACATATGTCCCACACATAACGATCGACTTCCTATAGGCACACCTATTTTACTCTGGAAAACTTTATTATATGAAATAGATTTACGTCGTATGGTACAGGGTAAAGCATTCTTTGCATAACCCAACATTACACATTGCGGAACTCATATTTGTTCTTTTCTTTATATTCATTCGTGTGCAACGAGCACAGCGGCGTCTTGATTTTTCAACTATTGGAAGATGATTCCCAACATTCAGGTGATTCTTAGCAATCTTAGATCCAGCAGTAATTTTTAAACTTTTATTGGGACATATGTCCCGTTCGTAGTCAGAGGATTAAAAGAATTTTGAAGTGAGGCGAAGCGCTGAAAATCCAAGAGGGCAAGATCTAGTGAATATGGGGTGCGACATAAGAACATTCCAGCCGTATTCAATATAAGTTTGTCTGACATTCATCGAAATGTGGGGCCAAATATTGCCATGAAGGAGGGCAGCACCTCGATAGCTGGGCAGTTCTGGGTACTTTGTTTCAATTTCTCCTTTTAAAATTGGCATTTAGAAACAATACTTTACCGAATTAATAGTGTGATTTGGTGGCAACAATTCACAGTATAAAATTTCTTTGTAGTCTGGCCATACAAAAGCCCCCTGTCGATGTTACCAAAGGAAATTCTTTTGGCTTACCCCATGATATTTTTGTTTTGAATATTATTGCATAATACGCAGTTCTAATATACAGTAATGATGCATTTCGAAAGAGGAGCTTTAGTTTTTTTTCAGCAAATAATCACATGTCGAAACTCAAGCAAGTGTATTCTGCTCTTTTAAAATATAAAGTACCCATACATTGAAGCAGAATTCGTCAAATGGTCATGAACTGCATTTTTTGAAATACTTAGTCTGTATGATAATTTTTGAACTGCATAAGGTGGATATTCAGCGAAAGCTTCTTTTAACAGGTCTTTATTTACATAGGATGATCACCCAGAGCGGGCATCATCTTCAAGACTGAAATTTCCATGCTTCTCAAATAACCTTTGAGCTATGCCATCTGAAACAGCCCTTTTTCATATATAACACCGCATTGCAAGAAGTCTGACTAAAAATATTTTACTTATCTTCAAAATAAAAGAACATAATATGACGAAAATGAACTTCTGGGTTCTCCATTCTTAACACCACACTGATACAAAATTATACTACAATACATGATAAAATTACACAGTGTGCAGAAAAGACCGTATTTAAACATTTGCTTCGATTAAGTTCACTTCTTATCAGAAGTAAAAAATAATTAGAAAAAAATGGCAAATTCTGTTCTTTCTAAGTTTTGGCGAAATTTTAATGGAACTTTTAAAACTAAATGAATGCAAATTTTTAAAAGTTGAAAATTTTGAAGCTATCTTAAGTAAGAAAATGTTTTTGAAAAAACGGAATTAATTCATTTCGACATATTATTCAGTTATTCAGCACGAAATATACAATTTTTATATAAACCAATAACAGCAGAATAAAATGTGCTCAGAATAGCAGGCATAAGTCTCGAGTATTTTGAATTCGTTTTTGAGGTTTTACCCTTTGAAAGACACTGGGATAAAGAAATGGAATTTCTTCTGTAAATATTGGACGTTAAATTTTTGCTTGGTAGTACTCTGAGTTGATTTTAGCATTTTCCCATTCTTCTATTTTCAATTTCTATTCTAAAAGAATCCTGTGGCAATCATAAACCCTTTACTGAAACTTTCTTTGCATTAACGGAACCAGGTTTGTAGACTTTTTTCTAATTGTTTTTGATAATAAGTAGACCTTTTTTATTGCAGTCATTTAGGTAAAATCATGCTTCATCAAAGGCCACGATGTATTTCCATTTATCACCTGCTAAATAAATTTTCTTAAAAGGTTCTGAAACGTTTTTTGCGCTGATCCACGTTCCTAGTCGAAAGCTGGTGAATATGATGTTTTTTTAACTGTTTGAAGCTGTAAATCATGGCTTGTTATTTTGTTAATTCTTGCTACAGTTGTATTTAAAGACTATGCTTATGCAGTTGATTTCTTCGTAGGCGGATTTTCTCTTGTTAACCAATGATTTTAGAAATATAAGAAACACTACGTACTTTCTCGAGTATTCGTTTGGAGTCTGCTTTTCATGTAAGAGTAATTACTGAAAGTTTTTCCTTTTCCGATTAATAAACGCCATGTCTTTCTGAATGTTTTTGAATTATGGAATAAGAATATTTCTCTTCAGAAAGAACAAAAAAAATATCCTTCAATTCATAATTTGTTGAAAACGCGACATTTTAAAAAGAGAATAAGTTTAAAAGAACAGACGATATTTCTATTTCAAATAATTGTGTTGCCAGAAATTTTTATTCCAAAACATTTTCTTTTTTAATATTAACGAAGCCATCCTAAAAATGTATAAACAGCCTCTGTAATTTTTTTTTTTTTTTTTTTTTTTTTTGTGTGTGTGTGTGTGTCTGTGTGGCACTTTTGAATATTTCATTAACATATAATCATCCAGATATAATTCAGAAATATTCGGCTGCTTCTTGGGGGAAGGACGAAAGAATTTTCAAAATTCAATTATTTGTTGTATTAATTTCATTATGTTATTTTTTGAGTGTTTTTGTTTCTTTCCAGTTTTCATGTATGTTCTTTCTGCTAGACTATAAACCGTCAATTTCGAATTAATTATTTTTTCTTGAATAGGTATACTGGGTTTACAGTCACAAAAAAAAAAAAAAAAAAAAAAAAAAAAAAAAAATCCTCCGGTTTTGCAGCTGAGGATGGTGGTTCGGTAAAACCATCGAAACTAGTCCTGTGAAGTTTTTGAAAATATAACGCTGATTTTTGTTGTTTGACTTCTGAATTAGTATTTATTCGGCGTGTTATTGTGTCTTAATTATTAGATTATTAGTAAAACTCTAACTTGAAATGCAAAAATTTAAAACAATAAATAAATAAAACAACATACAATATTATAACAATACATAAAAACAACAATGCTATGCAAAGGAAAGTATTTACAGAAATTTACAACACTATATTAATTGATTAGTGTTCATTCTCAAGCTATTAACTTTTTTACCTTCCTTCAACCTATATAAAGGGAGGTAATGTTTTTCGTCTAAAAATTCAATAATGTGCTTTCAATGAATAATCACAAATTAAGACTCCCACAACACGCTTTTACTATTTTTACAATATCTGTCTGTATGACGACTTTTGCGTCAACAATAGCGTTTAAAAGCTCCGAAAAGTTTCTATCTTCTGTATTTAATATTTTGCATTCATATAAAAAGTTTATTTGATTCTGGGTAAAACTGAATAACCGAAAGCTGTACTTTGCTTTAAAGCCCATAACAGTTTTGCAACAACCAGCATAACTTATTGTAGAGACATTAGGTATTTATAGAAGCAGACAAGATGAAAAATGAGCAACGCCTTCGCCGGAACTCGAACCATGGACCTCTGGAATACGCGTCCAGCGTGCAGACTACCACATCACGAAGGCACGCTAAGAAGGCGGAAGAAATACCTTATACTATCATAAATAAACCATTACAGGCTATTGCAATTGCACGAGTATTGTTTACTAATAACCTAAATACAGCGGGGATATACATACAACTGCAAATGAATTTAGATTTGTTGGTACTATAAAAGTGACATAAAAGAAAGTTAAATTTTGTGATTCATTTCAGAGAATTTATTTTAAATATATAATAAACAATTAATTTTTTAAACTAAAAAACAATTAAATTATATGTTATTCAACTGCTCAATAAAATATAATTTTAATATAAATATAAAAGGGCAAACATTTGGTTATGGTGTTATAAATTCAGAAAAACCAGTTTGTTTGCGTGGCTAATCATATATCATAAAATATGATCCAAAACATACCTTTCTGTTTATTTAGAATAAGAAAATAGATTTTGTTTACGAATCATTAACCGGGAATGATACTTAAAGCTCATTGTTATTTAAAACATGGATTTGGCGGGAGGTCATGTGCTGGCCATATCAGATTTTTTATTATTTGAAGTAAAGAAAAGCGGGAGTTAAAATTTGATTATGACTCTATAATGGATGCAATAAATGAACTGAAATTCACTTTTTTCATATTTTTCACATTTTTCTTTAGGATATTAACTCCAAATGTAAGTTAAATTTCGCCACTTTATGAAGTATAACGACATATTTGAAAAATATAGTTTTGAAGAGTTAAAACTCTTTTTTCTTAATTTGTTTTCTTTTCTGCTCTCTAATTAATAAAATGTTTTAGTATTATTAAGATCCCGAATTAGCATATAAAAATATAACTTTCTAAAATTCTCTTCCAATGTTTTAAGCTCCCCTTAAGCGTCTTATACCTGTATCAATTTTCGAGAAAAAAGGTATTGATTATATGACAAGAACAGTTTCTGTTTTTGTTTACCCAGTCTTACGAATTAACGTTCTTTACTATATCCCCTAAAGCAAATATATAGCAAACTCAAGGATACCTTTTTAATAATAGATACTAATCGCTATTTCTTTACTAAATCCTTTTGTGAAATTAGGCGTTTTTTTCGCAACTAGAATTCATAGCTACATTAAGTATTTTCATGCCACTATTCATTGAGCAACTGGAGGTAAAAATTACACTTGCACCCTTAACTACAAGGTGTCTCAAAAAGTCGTTGCCAAATTGAACATGCTAGTCTGTCATACCATGAAAAGAAGATTTAAATTGAAACTTGTGTCCGAAAATGCGAATGAAGACCGCTAGAGGGCAATGCTCACAGGTGTAGAGAGGGAGAAACAAAAGATGTTGGCTTTTATTAAAGAACATGGTTAAATCACAGAAGATATTCAAAATTCCGTCCATTCTCCACAATGCATGCTTCACAAAGTTGACGATTGGGTTCACGGGCCCGTTCAAAAATGTGCCCGTGTGTCACGGACATGTACCGCCGATTCTAAGATCCTGACGATAAGATCCCATATCCGATGTTACGGTCGTCTCATACACCATAGACTTCATGTATCCCCACAAGCAGAAATTCAGGGGAGTCAGGTAGGGAGATCGTGGTAGCCACACTGTAAAAAAAAAAGTTCGCTCTTTACAGGCAAAAGTTTTGTAAAGTTACAGAAATCAAAAAGTTACAGAAGAATTTCCTGTAATGGTAACAGGTTGAAAGCAAACTGTAGCGGTAACAGCAGATTTGCTTGTAACATTACAGATAATGTTTCAGTAGCCGCGCGGAAGAATCACGTGACTGACTGGAAATTAGCCAATCAGGAGAAAAGTGTTTGAAAGCTAGTTGCAGAAAAAAACATGGCTGAATGCATGTTGGTTGTATAGCGCAGGTAAGTAAGAAAATGTTTACAATTACTACTTGAAATATTTTTTGTTCATTTTATGCAGATTATTCTCATGCACTTTGCACTGTTATATGTAGTGAGTAAGTATTTAAACGTTTAAGCTTTGCGATTAATTAATATCAGTGTTCGTAATGTCTAATGAGTTGAAAGAGTGCAAAATATTTATTCCAAATGCAGATCTAATAGTAGTATTTTGTCATTGTGCATCCGATAAATTACGCCTTAAATTGCCCGTATTATTATTTAAAACTAATTATTCCAAAATTTAATCACTGTTTGTGGTATATAATTGAAATGGTAATGTGGTTGTTGAAAACAAAACTAATCATTTTAGCGTTCTTTTCCAATCGTCTGACCAAAGAACGTTTGACATCTTTTTCCCGGCAGGCCTTGCGAGAAACGTTTATATAAACATTTAGAATTCTGAATGTAATGTATATATTTTTTTGCTTACTAGGTTTAGTTTATTCTTTTTCTAGGATTATCTAATTAGTTATACCTGGTTTATAATTCAGTCTAATATGTTTATGTACGAGTGTGTTATGAAGTAAAATTACAAAAAAACTTGAACAACGCGGTCGAGAATCTCGTTTATTCCTTTAGTGTAATAATATTTTTTTCAGTGGTATTAATTTCTTACGAAAATATTATAATTCCAAAATGAAGTAATTATATTGATTAAAAATATGCCGTATCATACTTTTCGTAATGTTTTGTTTTACTAACTAGATGCAACTTAATTATTCCATATATTTTAATATACCAATATCAACAGGGGAAAAATGGAAATGACCTAAAATATTTTTCTAACAATTCGTTAAACTAATTATAAAACAAAACTAAAATTTTGTGCATTATTTCCAAAAATATCATTTCATTAATATTTTATAAATGACAACATATATTATATTGTATATATAACTACCATTGCATACTTATAAGTTTTTAAACATTTAATGTAGAATTTATGTTGATTTTATTTTGCCCAGTTTTAATACAGTTTTGAAGTATGATAGTCTTGTTACTAGGATAGCATGAATCTGCTAATACAAGTTTAATACATTTCTTGACAAATGTTTCTCTTATTCATGTAATATAATATATAAATCATAAAATAAGTTTTCTTAAAAATAAATTATTATTGTTTATTGGAATTTAAAACAATTCTGTATCTGTATGTTGTATTAAAAATAAATAATAATGAATTTTTAATGAAGCATTGATTTTAGCATTAACAATATATATATATATATATACACATGAATAAATGGAAATGCAAGCTACTTTTCCTTACAAAACCGCCTATGAATATATACTTTCCTTTAGGCTGATAGCCTTTGCATGCTTTGCCATATTCTATCAATCCAAATGATGCAAATATGCAGAAAATTTTACTTTCTTTGAAAGTTAATACCGGAAATAAAATTCAGTGCATTTGTAAACTACATTAGTTCTCTTATAGCTTGGCATTTAATTGCCCAATGATTTACTAGTCCAAACTAAGGCAGAATTCAGATATCGTTCAAATAAAAGAAAATTAATAAGGTCTGATTTTTAGACGTATATATGAAGATTTATTTTTTTAAATATTATTTTAAGTCAACCAAATTAATTTCAAATTTAAGTAAGTATTCATGCCTTTCAGTAGCATTATTTTTGATATCTTAAATTAAATAACTGAATGCAATATTTCTTGTTAATAAAAGAAAAGCAATGTTATGAAAGACTAGCGAAGTGGATTTGCAAGTTCTAATTACGAAATAATACGAAAGGTCCCATGCTTTAAGGGGTCATTTTTAAAAATACTTAATTAAAAAAAAATATTTAACGTAAAACTTCCAAACTTCACACATGTGGAATATTAATTCTATATATTTTATCTCATTCTTATTTTATTAATTAATTTCATAGCATTTTGTGTGACACTAGTAGTAATTATTAATTAAATTTTATGCTGTTTCTGATCTATGTTTTGATTTTGTTATTAATTACGTTAGTTTACATAAGATTTAAAATTATGTAAGGTACAAAAACCTTCTGCATCTATTAATATATGCTGAAGTGAATGAAATTATGCCAGTGAAATTTTTTAAAATCAAAAACAAATTTCTGTGGAAAATTAAAGTTATAAATTCTAAATGCAAACAAAGGAGTGAATTTGAAAGTTATCAAATAAGCCAAAGTGTTGGTCATTTTTTCAGTTTTGCAGAAGAATTTTTATACTTTGCAGAATGGGAATATGATGTTTGGTTTTGTTAGTATTAATTATTACAACTGAATTATTGCAACTTACATTGCAACACGTAATTTAGCTTAAAATTTATTTGAACTTAATTTTCTAATTTATTTTGATCATGTATATTTCATGTGTCATAAGTCTTTGAAATGAACTTAATTCTATTTATTTATTTACACAATTTTTTTAAAGAAGAAAAAGTCACATTTGTTTTGCTTAGTTGCACACGAAGATACATGTCTATATATAGAGAGAGAAAGAGGAGTTATGTTTACTTCCAGACTATTTTCCTCCTTTTATATTATAGTATGAAAATCAAGGGGGAAATTAAGCAATCAATTTAATTTTGAAGGATGTGATTACAATAAGATCATAACCAATCAAAAATATTCATGAATGAACTACTGGTAACTATCATAGTATTATTATTTAAAAGAAACCTACATTCCAATAAGAACGCTTAGTAACATAACCATTTAAGTTATCTGATAAAAGTAATTTTCATTCCTACTTCCCTATACCTTGAATTTCACTCTTAGTATTGCCCACTGCTACTCCCTAGACCTCAAAGCATTTAATGCATCTGGAACTGCAATTTGTGTCTTCTTCTACAGCATGCAAGTTATCACCGTTTAGTTTGTACTGCCACGAGCAATGATCTTCAGAATTACCGTATTGCGTTGCATATTCCACCCCACCCAGCTTTAGAACCAGATTCTGAAAATTAAAAAAATATTTACATAATTTTCCCCCTTTTAATGCATTCAGAAAATGAATATTCCCAAGATTTTAAAATGGATTTATCAACATAATGATTGTTTTCGTCATACTAACAAAGGCAAACTTTTGCACACTTAAGGCCCCGTTGAATCTTTCTCTTCTAACTGTTGAATATTATGTCAGCCTAATACAAAACAATGATCTATGATAGTGAAAGCAAATACCAACTGCCATTCACTGTGCAATTTTGCCATATCAGCTGAATGTTCACCCTAGCAAGCATCGGACCACAACCTTCTCTAATTATTTATGTATGATCTGAGGCCTAAGGATTTGCAAGAACAACAATGAGAATGACAGAAGTTCAAATTATAAAGAAAAATGAGATGAGATAACTTATTAGATGTTGCAATTATGTGTATTCTTATTGAAATAGAGGTTTCTTTTAAATAAATAATATTGTGATAGTAGTAGTTTATCCATGATTACTTTTCATTTGTTATATTCCTACTGTGACTGTGTCCTTTGGAAATTAAATTATTCGTTTAATTTTTCCCTCTTAATTTTCGGAAGATAAAATTAGTAAAAATAAGTGGGAATATGGCATCAAGAGCATTAGATATCCCCATTTTCTTGAAGCTGTTCACTATTATTGTTTCATCAATGATAGGCCATGCATCCAAAATCCACTAGCAAATCAGTTAGTAAGATGAAAATGACCACTATGCGGACAAAACATTTAGGGTAACTTGTTTTGTGAGCGCCTTAAGGAAGACAAACATTACCTAAATCTTTAAAACATATTCAGAATCCTGTGCTAAAAGAAAGCTAGGGGGAAAATGTTGTCCGAGTCCCAGTGATTCCTTTGGACGAATATGTAATATTGTTTTAGAAATTTAAGGTAATAAATATAATATTTTTCGAATGCTAAAACAGTTCGAGAAATTTATTCAAGTTCTGAATTCTGAATATAAGTATACTGTATATTATATTTAATAACTATGGTGGCTTCATTTATGAAAATATTTGAATATTGGCTGTTTTTGTACAATGAACCTTCTCTAAGCTACGTGATTCCTGAAAATTTTGATTTTTAAATGATAGTGGGCATCCTAGCGAAGTTATGTTTACTAATTAGTTATTTTATGAGGGATGCTGATTAAATTTAAAAAGTGATTGACTGAGGTAGCTTGTCGTAATGAGACGGTTCACTGTAATCCAATTTTTTAAAGAATTTAAGCTGTTCTTAATTAATTAAGATATTATAAAGAAATATGATTAAAAGTGTTATATAAGCACATGTTTAAAACATCTATTAAAATAATTTTTATAAGCTTTTTAAGAGCATGATTATGATTTTAAAAGAAATGTTTTTTTTCTTTATTTAGGAGACATGGTTTACAAAGAGGAGAAAAACCATTCATTTTTTCCAAGCAGTCGAAACGAATTTTTATGAAATGTTTATTAAATTATGTTATTTTTTAATTAATTCTTTTTTTCAGGTTTTATGTAAAGTTTATGAATTAAGTAATAAATTATTTTTACTTCTGTATTTTAATTAGCATATTATTTGCTTCATAGTGTTTCACAATAAAATTATAAATTCAATAAACTTCTTAATTAACATGCTGTAATATAGAGAGAGCATAAAGTTTGTTTTCTGTTGTCACATGTTTATTTCACAATTTTGTATGCGAATCTCGAAATTTATAATATCTAGGAATACTTTTTTAGTATCACTTTCGAAATGGTAAATATT